TCTCTGGGGCTATGTTTTTACTCTTGTTTTAATTGAGTATATGCTTAATTCTAAATTTAGCTTTTGACTAGCTCCTACATATGTACGTTGTGCATTGTTGTTTTTAAGGGGCCATTGAGTTCCTTCTGACTCATAGCAACCCTGTACGTGGTTTCTGAGGAGCAGCTAGTGGGTTTAAACTGCTGATCATGGCAGTTAGCAATCTAGTGCTTATCCTACACTATCACACCAGGACTCCACATTATGCATGGAGATCCCATAATGAAACTTTCATGTATCCATTGCTGAACAAACAAAAACATATCAATATAATTGATATGCTAACACTGACAGTTGTTGTTGTTAAGTGCTACTGAATGAGTTCTGACTCATAGCAACCCTATATGGGATTTCTGAGGAGCAGCTGGTGAGCTTGAACTGCTGACCTTGCTGTTCAAGCTAACCTTGCAGTCCAGCATATTAACTCACAGCAACATAGGAAGTTTTTTTTTCCCCTGGAAAAAAAAAAGTTATTCATTTTTAGCAGAGTTAGAACTAGGCTTTTCTTTTCTCATTTTCTTTTAAAGGAGAAGTAAAAAAAAGTATTGCTACAATATCATAGACACTGTACTAAACTAAAATATGAAAATGTGAATCTATTTTTTCTTGACATAGCCACCATCTGGTGGTGGTGGTTATGTGCCATGGAGCTGGTTCCGACTCATAGTGACCCTTCATAGTACTTGAGGCTGTAAATCAGTACGGGAGCGAAAGCCTCATCTTTCTCCATCTAACGGCTGGTAGTTTCAAACTGCTGACCTTGAGGTTACTAGCCCGAGTTGTAATCACTAAGCTACCATAGCTCCTTCTCGTAACCACTAGGTCTATATAGTTTCTTGGTATGATATTGAAAGATAAAGCACTGTACCACAATGTCGGTTTGAACTGCAAGGTTCAAACCCACCAGGCTGTCCTTGAAAATCCTATACAGTTAATGCGTGAGAACCAACTTGACATCACTTAACAACAACTACAACAACAACCTTCCCTGAGGATATGCAGACTCCATACCATAAACACTAGACTGCGGAATCAGTGGTTTGAGCCACCAGCCACTATGTTGGAGAAAAATAAGGTATTCTGCTTCCGCAAAGATATTAAATGCTTTGAAACTCTATACAGGGTTGTTATGAGTCAAAACTGATTAGAAGGCACTCAGTAACAACAACAACCCTTCCCTATATTGGGTTTCTGTAGAGCGGCTGGTGGGTTTGAACAGCCGACTTTGCAGTTGAAACCGACCTTGTAGTCAAATGCTTATCCTGTATAGCACCATACCAGGGCTCCAACCCTTCCTTGTCGTTGTTGTTGTTAAGGGCCATGAGTTGGTTCTGACTCAAAGCAACACTGTATATTGTTTCCAAGGAGCAGCTGATGGGTTTGAACCATCAATCTCATGGTTAGCATTCTAGTGTTGATCCTGTAGTGCCACACTCTTCCATTGTTGTTAACTTCCGACCTTGCATTCAAACTGAACTTACAGTGCAGTGCATTATCCTACAGGGCCACAGAAGGTCTCCAACTTCAGATGTGTATACCTAAATGGAGGCTATGTTAAGAAATAGATTCTATTCCTTGGAGTCCTCGTATGGCTTTGTAGAATAAGCACTGAACAGTTAACAGAAAGGTAGGTGGTTTCCCAGGTCTCTATGAGTTAGACGGGCTCAATGGCACTTAACATTAATAACAACAACCCTTCCCTGAAAAATTCTGTGCACTTGTATTTATATGGCTTTCAAACAATAGCTTTGCCATACTCAAAGGACTAATATTGTGTTCCTTTGAAATATTATTTGAGTTTTGTGAAAAAAAGAAATCTGAAGGGACAAGATCAGGGCTTTAGGGTGGTTGGGATAACGTTTCCCAATGAAGTGCTCATAGGCGAGCCCTTAATACTCTAGAAGAATGAGTACATTGTCATGATGAAAAACAAATAAAAAATTCATACTTTCCTGGCCTTTTTCACATTAATGCAGTTGCAATTTTCTTGATAAAAACTTTTCCTGATAAGTCCCAAGATTGTCTGTGTCCATCAAGAACATCTAACTAGAACACTTGCTTAAAATCCCATAAAATATTTGCATAGCTGACTTGTGTGACTTGAATTCATCATTAAGGTCTTCACAATCTTCCTTAAAATGCTTGATCCATCTAGAAACTGTTGTTACAGCAACTTGTTTCAAAGTTTCAGTGATTTAAGGAGATACCCACTGTGTGTTGTTAAAATTTCCATATAATTCTTGGCTTCAAAATCATATTTCTAATGGCATCTAATTTTTGAAAATGCGCTAATGGAATAAGCAGTACTGGTGTGGCCCTGTTGATTAGTGCACTAGACTGCAGAGTTGGTTTGAATCGCAAGGTCGGCAGTTCAAGCTCACCAGCTGCTCCTCAGAAACTCTGTCTGGGTCTCTATGGGTCAGAACCAACTTTATGGCACTTAACAACAACAACAACAAAAACAACTATATTACTGATAGAATTGGTCTACAGCCATTTACTGATTAGAGAGACATGCTTAAAGACATTGTGTTTGTAATAAACCCATGCAAGTTTGTACTGATAACTTTGTAGAAGTACTTTTCAATTTGCCTTCATTTTTATTAGTGTTTAAACAAATAAAATAATAACAAACATACTATTATTGCTGACACTAATAGGGTATGTTGGATTCTTAAGTATATTATAATTTTTTATTGGATGTACTGAAGGTGTGATTTTTTTTATACTAAAGTAGATAATGTTTTGTGAATTCAAATCAGAAAGATCAAAATACAGCTATGTTTGGTATGGTAGATGCTTATTATTGTGTATTGTGCAAGGTGGAAGATCATTAAGGCAATACGAGTGAGAGCGATACTCATAATATGGAGTTTGTATTCCATTGATGTATATCAACAGTAGTCCTGAATGAATAAGAATACAGCATTATTAGAAGTAATAAGTACTATGGAATTAGTCAAAGTAAGGGGAAATGCATATATGGATAAAAAAGAGAAATATGTCTGTCTGTTTGTTAAAAATTGGCCAGTCCAAGTAGTCTTAAGAAAATGACATTTGGACAAAAACTTGAAGGAGTGAGTTTACAAATATTTTGAAGAAGAGCATCTTAAGTACAGGAGCAACAGGTCAAAGATCTTGAGGCAAGAAGACACCTTGCTTTTTTGGGGAACAGAAAAGAAGCCAGTATAACTGGGCAGAGTCAATGAGAAAGAGATGGGAAGATGGCCTTAGATAGCAGAGAATGGAGAAGAAGGCATCTTTTCAATCCTAAAAATGCCTCTGGATTTTTAGATTGAGATAGGAAGCCATTGTAGAACTGATAACCAATAGAATGACAAGATCTGGATTATGTTTTACAAAGCTCATTGTGGTTGCTAAGAAGAGAATATTTTTTAAACACAAATATCACTACTGATATTTAGTAAGTACTGCTGTGCTTTAAAATATTTTTTTTCCATTGAAAATCATCCCCAGGAAAAATTTCCAACCTATATGACTAATCAAACTTCAGCCTCCTCATCTCCTGCTATTATTCATCCCAAGACACCACAGGAAAAAAGCTGACTCAATATGAGATAATATAATTAAGTACTAAGACTGAGCACTGCAAACCATAATTGTATAGAAATGGTAAAATGATAAACGTGGAAGTCATCAAGGGATACTTTGGGTTTTTGAACATGAATCTAATCTTGATAACATTCATTAATCAAAGGAGGAAAAGAAATCTTTTCAATTCAAGAAGATCTGGGGTGTGCAATAGCACAAGCATAGAATAAAAATGTCTAGCTTGAGGAAGATAAAACCTGCCTGTTGTGGAGAAGCAAAAGAGTTCAGATTTTATGTCACTATATAATAAAGGGGAAATTGTAACATGATGTGTAAGTATAATTAAAAAAAAAAAGTTTTCAGGCAAAGTAGACTGACTAGCAGATAATTCTGATCCCCAGTATCTTGATCTCTTTGCATATCTAGGTTAGAAGCACTAACTTTTTATGAGTGATACTGTCTTTTTGGGGGGGTGGTTAAAAAACTTTTATTGTGATTTGAGTGAAAGTTTATAGAGCAGATCATCGGTTTTACGTTTAACAAATCATATACTTTGTTTCATTACAATGATTATAATCCCCTCCATGTATCGTCAGTTAACAGTATTTCTCTCTGTTCATTTTAGCTCTTTTTTAAAAACACTCAGGCATATATAATAATTTACACCACCAAAGGGCACATTCTGCAAGTCTACCTCCTGGCTGCCAGCTCTCAATCCCTCTCTTTCCATGAATCAAGAGTCTTCAGCTGCCTCTCTCCATGCCCCCATCTCTGCCTCCATCTCTGGTGTCTCTGCTTCTCTGGATAGGGTCCTGCATTCCACTCTTCTTCTTCTCCCTTGGTGGTCCGAGTGTCCTCTTGTTACTGGAATGTAAGATTGACTACTCCCTGGTTTTTGTTACACAACTTCTACCTTTACAATTGTGACAGTCTCAGTCATGATAACAATTATATGAGTGATGTTTTTGACCAGAGAAGGCTAATGTTATTTTCCTAGTGGACTTATGCTTGATTAAAGGTAAGAAAATGGAATTGAGGACAAATAGAGTGATTGTTCTCTTCTGTACATGTTGTTAAGTGCCATCCAGTTGGTTCCAACCCATAACGACCCTGTAGAGGGTTTCCGAGGCCGTAAATCTTTACTGGAGCAGACAGTCTCATCTTTCTCCCTCATTGTGGCTGGTAGTTTCAGACTGTTGATCTTAAGGTTCACAGCCCAATTGGCAACCACTGCACTACCAGAACTCCTTCTGTACATAGTGGTGAATATTGCTGGTGTGTTTCAGATTTCAGACCTTTTCTTGATGTTTATCATTAGGTGTATGTTAGTGTATGATGACAGTGATATCGAACCAAAACAGCATTGTAAATTCTGCTTTAAATAATAAGGTTACTCTTTTGTTCATCAGGTAACAGAAACACGGACAGGCCCTCTTGGCTGCAGTAATTATGACAACCTAGATTCTGTCAGTTCTGTTCTGGTTCAGAGTCCTGAAAATAAGATTCAATTACAAGGTAAGTAGGTAAACTTTCATTAATTATGTAGGAGCCTGGATGACACTTTTCCAGATATGACTTATTTTCTTTTTCTTTTATAAACAAGCAATATGTATACTACTAGGTTTTTAACACTCATAAAAAGCCAATTAATTAATTTCTTGTTGGTAAGGGCCATGCAAAAATATTATAGAAAATGTGAAGAAAAGATAAATTAATTTTTTTTCAAATATTCAAAATGTTTCAATAACATTTTACTTTCGTATAGTCATCCTTGTCTCAATTAAGTTGTTTCTCCATGGGTCTGTCTGTGCTCTACCTTTTATCTAATAAATTATTATGAAATGTATAGCCACATTGATACAAATTATGATTTGAACTGTTGTCATATTTAATTTTTCATGATATTATAATAACAAAACCTATATTTATCTTCTGATAAGTACATATTTGAGAACGTATTAGCAAAACACATATTCACACTATTTCCCTTTTAAAATGGATTCAGTAATAATGATATTTTTTTTTCTTTTTAACTTTTTGTTAGAAAGTTTAATAAAGAATGGCTATGAGTGTGCACATTTGTTCAGTTTTACAGGCACAGAATGTTTATGGTTACATGTACTTAGAAATGTACTAGTCAAGTTAAGACAAGTCTATGTGATAGCGTTGTCTAAATTAAGTTGTTTGATCAAAGTAATCATTTTGAGTAGTTCTTTCCTAGTTTATGTTTTTAAATTGTGCAAGTTAGAGCTGTATTTGATTATTTGTTTTATATTAAAAAAATTTAAAATTTTGAGAAATTCTTCCATTTTTTCTCAACTTTTTTATCTTAAAAACGATTTTTCATTGGATTATTTAACAGTACCCAAAATGATAAAGGAATGCCATTTATTTTTAATTGTTTAAAAAGAGAATGTATTTAAATATTTTAACTCTTCAAATAATATCTAACTTATCAACAATAAATTTAAAGTTATTGAAACTTTTGTGCAATTTAAATGGAAATATCATTTACTTGTAGTATTCCTCTGCTTATTCTTTTTAAAAGAGCTCTGGTGGTGAAGTAAGATAAGCACTGGACTATTTACCACAAGATGGGCAGTTGAAACCAACCAGCCATTCCATAAGTGAAAGATGAGGCTTTCTGCTCTCATAAAGATTTATAGCCAGGGAACCCTATACAAAGGTGCTCTGAGTCACAACTGACCCAGTGGCAGTGGGATTCTGCCTGGGTCATAGACTCATCAAAATATTAACTCTGATCAGAATGAACAACAGATATGTGTATATATATATATGTATATATATATACATTTTAAACTCGTTTGCTCCATTATCAAAATTCATTTCTTTATAAGATTGATTTTTAGTTTCTGTGAAGCTCTGTGCTCAGTTTTCAGAATAATACTATAAGAACAAAACTTCACTCTTCTATCTGTCTTGAAAAAAAAGGATATTTAACACAATAAATAAATAAAGTAACCCTGCCTTTTTATATCATTATCATCTCCGCTCTTATCATTTCTACTCTTACAAATTTAATGAATAACTTAGAAACCTTTATCTCTATATTTGAACTTTTTGCTGCTTTCTAAACATGTATTTTCAGTTGTGTGTTGTAACTTCATTCATACCCCTGGAAATAACAAAAGCATTCCTAGCCATAATTTTAGTAAATAAATTTAAAGATTGTTAACTTCTACATGCTGTTGTTTTTAGGTGCCATCACGTTGGTACCAGCTCATAGTGACCCTATGCACAACAGAATGACCACTGCCGGCTCCTGTGCCAACCTCACAATCATTGGTACGCCTCAGTCCCTTGCTGGTGCCACTGTGCCAATCCATTTCGCTAAGAGTCTTCCTCTTTTTCTCCAACGCTTCACTGTACCAGATATGATATCCTACTCCAGGGACTGGTCCCTCCTGACAATATGTCCAAAGTATGAAAGATGAAGCCTAGCAGGGAGCACTCTACTCTGACTGCATTTCTTCCAACACCGATTAGTTTGATCTTTTGGCGGGCCATGGTACTTTCAGTATTCTCCTTCAGCATTATAACTCAAATGCATCAATTCTTCTACAGTCTTCCTTGTTTACTGTCCAATTTGGGCACCCATATGAGGTTATTAAAAATACTGTGACTTGGGTCAAGAGCACCTTAGTCCTCAAGCTAATATCTTTGTTCTTCAACACTTGAAAAGGTCTTGTTCAGCATATTTGCTTAATTCAATATGTCTTTTGATTTCTTGACTGCTGCTTCCATGAGTGTTGTTGGTTGATCTGAGCACAATGACGTCTTTGAAAACTTTAGTCTTTTCTCCATTTATATGAATGTTGTTTATTGGTCTAGTGGTGAGGATTTTTGTTTTCTTTACATTGAGATGCAATTCATACCGAAGGCTATGGTCTTTTATCTTCATCAGTAAATATTTTAAGTCTTTTTTGCTTTCAGCAAGCAAAGTTGTATCATCTGCATATCACAGATTGTTAATGAGTCTTCCTTCAGTTCTAATGCTTTGTGCTTCTTCATATAATCCAGGTTCTCTGATCATGTGCTTAGCATACGCCTTAAATAAGTACGTTGAAAGAATACAACCCTGGTGAACACCTTCCCTAATTTTAAAACAGTGTTCCCTTTTTCTGTTTGAACACTGCCTCTTGGTCTGTGTACAGGTTCCTCATGAGCATGATTAGGTGTTCTGGAACATTCATTCTTCACAATGCTGTCCCTAGTTTTTCATGATCCACACAATTGAAAGCCTCTATGTAGTCAGTAAAGCACAAGTAAACATCTTTTTGGTATTCTCTGCTTTCAGCCAAGATCCGTCTGATGTCAACAACAATATCTCTCATCTCACATTCTCTTCTGTATCGAGCTTGAACCACTAGAAGTTCTCTGCCAATGTATGGGTGCAGCTGTTTTTGTATTATCTTTAGTAAAACTTTACTCCCATGGGCTATCAATGATATTGTCCAATGATTTCCGCATTCCTGGGGGTTATCTCTCTTTGGAATGAGCACAAATACAGATCTCTACCAGTTAGTTGGCCAGGTAGTTGTCTTCCAAATTCCTTGGCATGAATGAATAAGTGACTCCAGTGTCACATCAGTTTGCTGGAAATTTCAACTGGTATTCCATCTATTCTTGGAGGCTTGTTCTTTGCCAATGCCTTCAATGCACTTTGGACTTCTTCCTTCCAGATCATTGACCCTTGATCATATGTACCTCTTGAAATGGTTGAACGTCAACTTTCTTTTTGTTACAGCAACTCTGTGTATTCCTTCCATCTTCTTTTGATACTTTCTGAATCATTCAGTATTTTGCCCAAAGAATCCTTTGGTACTTCAAGTTGGAAGATAGAATTTTTTATTCAGTTCTCTCAGTTTGAGAAATGCTGAGTGTGTTCTTCCCTTTTGGGGTTCTAACTCCAGATCTTTGCATGTTTTGTTATAATATTTGACTTTGTCTTTTTGAGCTGGCCTTTGATACTTTCTGTTCAACTCTTGTATGTCTTCACTTCTTCCATTTACTTTAGTAGCTCTGTGCTAGAGAGCACGTTTCAGAGTCTCTGTATCTATTTTGGTTTTTTCCTTCTTTCTTGTTTTCTTAATGACCTTTTGCTTTCTTCCTGTATGATGTTCTTGATGTTATCCCACAACTATTCTGTTTTTCAGTCTTTAGTGTCTAATGCATCAAATCTGTTCTTCAGATGATCTCTATATTCAGGTGGAATATATTCAAGGTCATATTTTGGCTCTCATGGACTTGTTTTCATTTTCTTCCGCTTCAGTCTGAATGTGCATATGAGCAATTGATTCCACAGTCTGCTCCTGCCCTTGTTTTGGCTGATGCTATGGAGCTTTTCCACCCTCTTTTCACAGATATAGTCAATTTGATTTCTGTGTAGTCTGTCTGGTGAGGTCTTTATGTTGTTTAAAAAAGACATTTGCAATGAAGAAGTCATTTATCTTTCAAAATTCTGTCATGCTATCTTCAGCATTGTTTCTGTCATCAAGGCCTTCTTTTCCAACCATTGATCCTTCCTCTTTGTTTCCACCCTTTGCTTTCTAATCACAAGTAATTATCAATACATCTTGCTTTCATGCTTGAATTATTTCATACTGAAGAAGTTGGCCGAATTCTTCAATTTCATCATCACTGGCTTTAGTGGTTGGTGTATACATTTGAATAATAATGGTATAACTGGTATGAACTTTTACTTGTACTCTTTCTATAATTTGGTTTGTACTTGGTTTACTTTTTCCAAAAATTATTTTCTACTTTATAAAAAGGAGTCATGGTGTGGTGCTATAGGATAGGTACTGGACTGCTACCTATATGTTGCTGGTCAAAACCACTAGAGTTGCTATGAGTCAGAAATGACTCAATGGGACTTAACAGTAACAACAGCACCTTATAAAATAAATCCTGGTGTGGTGCTCATGGATAAGCACTGGACTACTAAGCACAAGGATGGTGGTTCAAATCCTTGGATACCCTATACAGGGTGACTATGAGTTGCAACTTACTTGATGGCACTTAACAACTTTATAAAAGGAAGCAAACCATTCACCAGTTATGAATCAGTTATAATGATACATTCTTGAGGAGTATTAAAAACTTGAACTCATCTGTAGTAATAAAAATATGGTATTAAATTACTGTTGCAGGATTCTGCATCTCATAATTAGGTAGTTTGGTAGTTATGCAGTTAAGTAGATGATTGGTTAGTTGGTTCGTTGATGAATAGATAGGTGGAGAGGCAAGTATGTAGGTAGATGAATGAATAGATATATAGATGGATGGATGGATAGATAGATAGATGCATGCATATTGAGATTTTGATGTTCTTAATGAGTGCTGGTGTGGTGCTACAGGATAAGCACTGAACCACAAAGTTGGTTTGAATTACAACATTGGCAGTACAACCTCACCAGCCTGTACTCAGAAATCGCATTCAGAGATGCTATGAGTTGGAACTGACTTGACATTACTTAACACAACAACGTGGT